GTTACGTGTGCCTGTGCGTGATGATAGACGTCTTTATTTTAATGATCATCAGAACCAAGACGACGGCGTTACCTTCAAAAGAACTCGATGCAAATGGGGTTTGGTTTGGCTGGAAAATAGTCAACACCGACGTGGGGTATATTTACACAATTTTACCTTTTATTCTGATGTTTCCTTTGCTTTCTTGCGGTCCTTCAAGCTTGAAACACTTGATAGTTATTTAAGCAGAGAGGGGGGCTGCTCAATCCATTTAAACATCGTAAAATTAAAAAATTAAAAAAAAAACAGCTAAAGATACTTGAGAACCGTGTGCCACGCGTTGAAATATTGTTCGAGCAAACTAAATCTCAAAACGTAAAATATAGAGCATAATGTTTCACTTGGTAAGCTTTTGATTGATTTTTCGAGTGAGAGTGGTCCTGAGCAGGGCTGCTGTAGTTAAAAGTGACTGACGTTTTGACAGCTAAAGCACAAGTCATCATGATGACTTTCGATAAAAAACCGAAGGCTGTTGGGACGTCAATTACTGTTACCGTCAACAGCACTACAATGGACTGCTCTCAAGTAGACGATCGAACTACTCCGTCAAATGTTACTCCAAGCTTCTAAAATTGTCATTTTCTTTTTGCTCGGCTCGACCCTGCTGGAGTGACAAATTTAATTACGTGTTATTGCGAAAATGTTGGCTGCAACCTGGACAACAGTGTCGTATACAAAGGAACGCGATCCAGATGTAATTTGTTTTGAGGGAAAATATTAAATACTCACGATTAATTACTATTTTACCTCGTAAGGCACGTTCAAACCCTTTCTCCGGCTTATTCATGCACCATTCTTTTCATATCTACATACATATATACTTTATTGAGACTCCCTTCCAACAGGGCTTATCGGTCAAAATGTTACCAATTACATAGTACTGGTAATTAAGAAAATTTATTAGCAGCAATTTAATCAAATTCAAAATACATTCAAAGTATTCAAAATTAATTCGTATGAAACATATTATTAAAAAGCATCCGTTTTAAAACTATTCATTTTCTTTGTGTTCTTAATATTGTCGGCTTGCGCTTTCCATTCCCCTGGACCCCGAAAGTGAAATGCTCTTTGTCCCATTCTACATTCGACAATCTACATTGGAGAACCACAAAATTGTGTAGATTACGTTTAGATGTGTTCTCCCACACTGAAGCACAATGAAACAGAAAACAAAGCTAGTAATAAAAGTGTTTTTATGTCTAAAAGGTGTTTAATTCTACTTATCTTTACTAACTACTTCATACAACTAGAGGCTGTTTTAGTGATATGTATCTCATAGGTAAGATATTGATCAGTGTATACCCCGAGATCCTCAGCAAACGAAACTGGTGAGATCGTTTTGCCTAACAGGGATGAGGAGGATATCCCTATCGTCTCTTTCTCCTATTTCTACTTTTACGATCTAATGGGGGTGGTGGGAAAACAACACCGTCTTTTTAGAAGTAGGGACACTCAGGTGCTAGGTCCAGAAACATAATGTTTGTTAATCCCTTTTCATGGTCACAAAATTTTTTAAGAAAAGCTACCAGAGATCGTCATCGCTGAGAATACCTTCGGTTCTCGAGATGTTTACTAGTAGTAGTTATAGATCTGAGCCCAGTTGTTCAAAGAGTGAATAACGCTATATAACGGATAAATTACTATCCAGTGGATAAATGTTAGAAAAACGTACTACGCTATCCACCAGGTAGCGATTTATCCGGTGGATAGCGTTCTCTAACCCTTGAACAACTGGGGCCTGTAGTACAAGCGGTGAAGCGTGTACTGGTTTTTGTTTTAGTCGAGCCTCAGTTTTGTGTCTCTTCCTCCATACGGAATGTTGCTCTGTAGCTTGTTACCTTATCAGAGCGGAGTTAGGAAACAAAGACATTGCAAGTTATTATTATCGCTAATATAATTATTATTGTTGAAATTTGGAATCAACAAACATTCTATGTCATTGCAAGCCTACTGACATTTTTACACAGGAAATTTTTTTTTCAGCTCAGGATTTCAATATTCAAAGAGCTCACACGCTCTATTTCTTAGAAAATGCCTCAAGCTTCTAGCCCTTAAAAACTCTCCCATCTATCAAATGTTAATCGATGCCATTTTTCCTTTGTGAAATATCTGGGTAAAAGTGAGATACAAAGTTTCGTTTTTCTCGCGAAAAAATTCCACAAGACTATTAAACTTACTCTCTTATTGTCACCAGAGTTGGTTTCGTTTTCATTGTAGCTAGGTGAGTGAGACATCAGCAAAATATTTGAAGGCTAAATGGTTCCCGTGCAGGTTCTCATTGTTTGCGTCAAATCTTTTTGGGCTTACAGAGTTCAGTTGATGCAGGAAACGTCAATTGCTTTGAACACTTTTTTGAACTCTGGATTGCCATCGCTTGACTCTTTTTTCGGAAATTATTACAGTAAATGGTTTCAACCCGGGAGTAACATGTAATAGAGTAGTTTGATCGTCCGGGTGTGTGCATTCCTGAGAAGGACTGTTGTTGGTAGTGGTGACTAACGTTTCGACAACCTTAGCCAAAGTCATCATCAGAGTCAATTGAATAGTTGTTGTCAGTCGAACGTTCTAAGTCCGGTTCGTAAAAACCGATTGGTCAGTTTTCCGTCAATGTTATTGGCTATGAGACTCTACTGGTGTTGGTCGGTCGTGATTGGTCGGTCTCAATCCGCCGGTAAAGTTGGGTCGCTCACTGTTCGGTTCGTTTGTTAAGAAATTATTAATCTTCGTTCTTAGATCTTGCTCGTTCGATTTCTCTTGGGAATAAGGGTAGCTTCATTCTTGGAATACAAGTTACAATGTCAGCTTTGGTAGGATTTTGTTCGCTCAAGCCGATGTACCGTTTGTTTTGGCCAAAAACAAACAAACAAACAAAAAAAGAAAAAATACGGAAAATTTATGCCCCCTGCACCCTCTTTAGAATCCTGGCTGGCCCAGGAACGGGAAAATTTCAGTAGGAGATATATGAGGGGGGTCAATCCACTCTTTACTTTCTTGAAAGAATCCAACCTAGTATAGGTTTGTTCGAGAGTAACGACACGCGACCGTTTAATCAACTGGAGTTAACTTGCATGCATGCCCTTGAGCATTTCAAATTGGTTATAAGGGTCTGAGAGGCAAAACGAAATATTACCTATGGCTAAACTACAGGCAAAAGTATGGAAAATAATGCTTGATAATGATATCGGCCCTACCGGGCTCTTCGGAGTTAGATCAGTGTAATTATTGCCATGAGCAATATCCCCAGGCAATTCTAAATCGTTGCGTGACACACTAATTTCAACATGTTGGCCACCGTGCAGCGTTCATCCAACTTTTTTTTAATTCAGAGCCGATAATAACACATCACAAATTGCTCCATAAAATTTGCCACGTACATCGCAAAGATACGCTCACCTCGACTAAACATATGGCCAAGAAAAACTTTAGAAGGGAAGCATTTGTTCAAGCTGAAGTTTTTCTATTTTTTTTTTTTTTGTACCGACACCAGAGTTTTGTATTTCGCAAGAGTCGATGATAGCAGAAGAATAACTTTATGAAGTATTCTTTCTATTTATATTATTCAAAGATGAGCGAGGCTTCTTATGCAGGAATTCTAATCGTTACGAATATTTTCTTATGCATCAAGGTGTAAAATCCTAAAGGGTTGGATAAACATAACGATTGCTGTATAAATAAAACACGATACGTTCGCTTCCGCGGGAAGATATTTTTATATTATGGCGTACACAGATGTTATTTCGTTGTTGAAGTTCTATTTTAATGTACATCGACGACCATAAAGGGCAAACAAATATGACTCGCCTCACTGAGTGCCGTGAATGCAGTTCATATATATTGTTAATGCACTGTAGGATTCGATCAAAACCGATAACCGCATGTAAAACTGTCAAAACCGATACATTTTCACATCCCAGTTATTAAGACCCTGATCGATCCGACACAGTGGTGACAAGTGGAGAATACAGAGTAAACTAAACTAATTTTGTTACAGGATTTATGAATGCCATGGCATTCGTATCTTTTAGTTTCTGCTTAAATTAAGAACTGCTCTCTCGAGGACCTCGAGCGTGGTCTCTGCGGACCTTGGCGGGGGGGAGGTAATTCTACACGTAGGCTACCTGGGGATCTCTGCGATATTTCAATTGGTTTGTCACGCATTCGTCTCTATAACATTTGCGTTTAGCTGCTAGATCAGTGGAGGCGCGTAATCACCGCTCAGATCGAAGAGAAACCGGAACCTAAATAGGTCAAATTGGAGAAACCGAAAACTGCATTGGATATCAAATCCGAAAACCCGTTAATATTTTTCGCGAAAACCGAAAACCAAATACTTATCAACGGAAAATCCGTAAACCGCAACGAACACCAAAACCGAGAAAGCGAAGTTTTTTGGCGCAAAAACCGAAAAACCAATCTATAAAATAGCCAAAACAGAGAAACCGAAAATCCCAATGCCTCCCTCAGCAAGTTCATATTGGCCCTGGATTGTTCTATCAATTCATGTACCGCTCAGGGTAAAGTTCTCACTTGTTTCAAAAGTGCCCGTTTGAAGAATTGACTTATGCTATTCATAATTTATTGTTATCGTTTGCCTTTGTTGTTATTGTTCGGTATTAACCTTCATCAAGGAAAGACACGGAGAAATTAATTTAAGATTTCAAAATTGTAGTGGGGCGGAAAATTGTGGTGTTATCAAATTCATTTCTTAAACCGCAGGACACCTATCTGATTTTCGTGGCCCAATGACCCATAATGAAAAGACAGGCTTTTATATAGAGTCTCTGGACTATTTCCTGATTTGATTTTCTGAGTTCAGCAATTCATGGTCATTTTGATTCCGTTCTTAATATTTGTAAAATTCTCTCAAATTTGGATTACTTGCATTCTTCATGAGACCGTGTTTAGTTTGTAATATGTGAACGATGTAAAGAAACGGACAACAGTTTCTTGAAGTACATTTATTAGGCTTCAATTGATGACTTTCCAAGGCTATTAGTATCAAGTACGAAGCTTCTCCTTTTTGAGCTATTTATAAACAATTGAATAGATTCCCGATCATCACTTTATTCCCTTTTGCTTGAAGCCGCAGACCCCCGCGTCACGACGGAACTCTCTTACTTTCTTAGGCGGTACCACAATAGCGCAAATGGCACTGGTGCTCCCGGGGCGTTCCATCGATGTAGTAAATGTAGAAATCACCACAATTCATCACCTTGATATCGATCGACCAGGTACAGCAATTACTCCACGAGAAACAGACCTTCCTGGTGACTTTACCCTCTTCCACTGAAGGATGGTCGCCGCTCAACCACCCAGTAGCGTGGGTACCGCACCTGGATGTTTTCGGGCAAGATGAAAGCATTTTGACTCCAGCCGCTCCTTGGAAGCGATACCAGTTCGGCGTGAGATGGTTATCGCATAAGAGTGGATTTGCGCCATGGTTAACATTCCTGCTTGCATCTGCCAGAACTTGATAGTTCTGACATTCTACAGTACGAGACAGAAACAAGCTTCCAATTAGTTCAACAAAGCTATACGTACTCTGCATTATTTCATGAACAATTTTAAACTTGTCCTGTATGTTAAATAGGCATCAAGTGCTATTGTTGTTGTTAAGCGACCATTTTCTAGAAGAGATTCGACCCCATCATTTCTTTTCTTACGCTTCACTATGAAAAACGTTCACCGAAACAGTTTACAGAGAAGAAAGGAAGCCGGCACAATATAATCGTTTCTTACTTGAGGTCCTGAATACATTTATAACTGTAAATAGCAATAGCTAGCTTTTTCTCTTTTCATCAATTGTGTCTCCTCCTTTATGTTGTTAGCTTATAGAAATTGGGACTAAATTACGCCCAGTTGTTCGAAGGCTGATTAGCGCTAACATAGGGGTAAATTTTGATCCGAGTTTCTTTATTCCTTTGTTCAAAGACAACTTACTCTATTCTTTTGGAGCATTCAATCAACCAATTGTAGATAAAAAGAATAATGCTGAGTTTTCTTTCAAAGCTTTCAGATCTTAAATCTGATTTTACACAAACCCTGGGTTATCTTAACCCAGCTTTGAACAACCCAGTGCAGAATGCTAATTTCTGAGATTAAAATGTTAAAAAAAGCTTCAAGGAAGTAAAATTCAGACTGCTTTCGTCTTACCTGGTGGAGTCCTATTTTCCAAAGCTTTAACTCTCACCAACAGCTCTTCAATCACGGAGCAGGCTATCAAAGGACGGGAAAAACTTTTAAAAACGTTTAAGCGTTAATATAAGAAACTTTCTTCCTCAACTTTACCCAAACAGCTCAAAAGTGCAAAGAGAACATTACATGGCCGCCCATGGATACAATCTTTTATCTACTAGTGTTGATACTATCTTTCACGAGTGAGCTTCTCTCACGGGTGACACGTAAAGATAGACTCGAATCTAAAAGGAAGACATGTACTGTTCTGTTTATTATAAAAATATAATTTTCATTAAAATCAAAGACAAATTTCAAGCACATATTAAGAGCAAATGATGTAGATAATGTATGCATGTAGACCACACGGGCTATGAAGCTACTTCAACCTCCGACATAAAAATGAAATTTATAGGTTCTTATCCCAGGAATGTTGCCTCTCGTAGAAAAAGTTGAACTAAACCCTGGCATTGTTCGTGAATTTAAAAAAAAACCTTCGTGAAAACTAGACAGTTATTTAGACAAACTAGGTTTCCATGCAGGACGACATTTTTATCTTTACTTGTGGACGTAAATACATAAAAGTACGCTCACTGAAAGTAAGTTGGCGGATGTTATCTTTTGGAAAAAGGAGATATTTTTGTATCTCATCAATATCTATATGATAAAGTACTCTGTGATAGATATTTCATCACCATCATATTGAATATAATAGATCAAGATTTGTTAGTATTATAAACATTCCACAACTTTCTACAAGTTTTAAATGTTACGTTGGCACTCTTCCAATGCTTTCACCCTGGCTTGCAGCTGTTTCATTTTCTTTCCTCCACCCACGACAGGTTTGCTTCCTTCTATTAAAATGAACACAAGCAGCGAGGCAACAAAAGTGGATCTCATTTTGGACTGGACTTTAATCTGTGGAGTAGACACAATGAGTCTCAAGAACATTTTTGTTCCCATGTCAGCCTCTCTCCCGATTTATTTTCTTCACATCCTTTTTCGTTAAGGAAAAAAAGAGAAAAAAAGAGCGACGAAAACATTTATGGATACGTTATGACACATTTGGTATTGGCTCAAAAAAAGTTCTCTCATCATCGACCAAATTTCTGAATTGATAAGGTTCGTACCTCATATACTAAAATCATTTCATTTTTTGCTTGCTTAATTTTCCCTCAGGAGCATTGTTCATTACAACTCGAATATGAATTCGCAGAGTATAAACAAGGTAAAGGAGCGATGCTTATAGAAGCAGCGGAAACAATGTGAATCTGCAACTTGCCAGTCAATATGAGATCGTCTCCCAGTAAACACAAATTTATGACTTTTCCTTGAGCTTTCTTAAGATCGCATCTAATTACTATAATTCATTAAAAAGAAATGAACGAAACCGATTATGAAATACGACGAACGAGAGAAACGAGAAAAGTAATTGACGGATCAAAAGCGAGCTTGTGTTGGTTTTTTAATTTGGATTCGGGCGAACTATGCATCTAGTACTAAGTATTTCGACACGATAGACAATTTTGCACATTTTCAGTTTTTTGATAATTTGCCGCCATGACGGCGCATCGTTAGCATCCAGCAGAGTTTGCGGTCATGATCATTCCAAACCGCAATAAAATATGCCTCCAAATAACGCGACGCCGTAGACCAATTGCACCATTTATGATATCTGAAACCTTTTTTCTTTTTCAGCGCACATAGATTGATCTCTTCAGTATATTTCTTTAGGTCAAGGAAGCTGTAAGAAGCATGTTGCCTAAAAACTGAAGATGCGAACTTACCTGGGATGTTGTAAAGAACACAGCATCTATCGACAGGATAAGAAAGATTGTGTGCCCAAACGAATTAAACTATATATATGGCTAGCTGTTCAGGTCATGAACAATTAAAGTAGCCAATTACATTGAAGTGTCTACATGTGATGATAGACGTCTTTATTTTAATGATCATCACAACCTAGATGACAACGTTACTTCAAAAGAACCCGATGCAAGTGGGGGTTGTTTTGGGTGGAAAATAGTCAACACCAACGTGGGGTATATTTACACAATTTTACCTTTTATTTTGATGTTCATTTGATTCATTTTCCTTACCTTCTTAACAAATAAAATATCCTTTTTTCTTACGGTCCTTCAAGCTTGGAGGGTAAACAAACAACGTATAGTCATTTAAGCAGAGAGGGGGGCTTCTCAATCTATTTAAACATCGTAAAATTAAAAAATAAAAAAAACGGAAAACGGGCAGCCCTAGATAGATGATAGATGTTCTTACTTTAATGATCATCACAACCTAGATAACGGCGTGACCTTCAAAAGAACTCGATGCAAGTGGGGTTGTTTTGGGTGGAAAAAATAGTCAACACCAGCGTGTGGTATATTTACAGAATTTTACCTTTTATTTTGTTTCATTTGCTTCATTTTCCTTACATTCTTAACAAATAAAATATCCTATTTTCTTGCGGTCCTTCAAGCTTGGAGGGAAAACAAACACCTTAGAACCATTTAAGTAGATAGGGGGGCTGTTCAATCCATTCAAACATCGTAAAATTAATAAATTAAAAAAAAAAACGGCTCAAGATACTTGAGAACCGTGTGCCACACGTTGAAATATTGTTCGAGCGAACTTAATCTCAAAACGTAAAATATTAGAGCATAATGTTTTATCTGCACCTGGTAAGCCTTTAATTGATTTTCCGATTGAGAGCGGTCCTGAGCAGGGCTGCTGTAGTTAAAAGTGACTGATGTTTTGACAACTAAAGCGCAAGTCATCATGACGACTTTCGATGAAAAACCGAAAGCTGTTGGGACGTCAATTACTGTCACCGTCAACAGCACTACAATGGACTGCTCTCAAGTAGACGATCAAACTACTCTCGACCCCTAACGCTCGAAACGTCAGCTTTGAAACTCTTTACGGTGGCCAGTGTATATTATTAACTCAGTTGATAATACAAAGACAGTTTAAGACAGAGGTCACCAAATTAAAATTGTCGGCAAACTTGCGAATGGAAGATGGGACACTACCGACGGTGAGAAAACCGACACAGGCGTAATACTTACTTCCTTTTGGTAAGAGCCACTTTTGAGAAACAACAATAAGATAAAGATTGTCAGTTCATTTAAATCATTAACCTTTTCCTTGTAAGTCATCATTTGTCAGTCTTAAGATATATGTTGCATTGCATATATATCGAATAGGGTGGGGACAGATCAAACCCCCATGAAAGAAATGGGAAACAGTTTTATCAACAATCTTAAGCCCCCCAACACCCTTTTCCTCCAAATCCAAAATCCAAACCATTGACCTACTTTAGCCAAACGGTTTTAATGGTTTTTACGAGGAAAGGTGTACGAGCTCACCTCTTTTTACGCGTGAGGAAAAAGTAGACAACAACTATTATAATAAGGTCACCTATATACCGCAGAGAACAATACCCTTCCTATTTTTAGATAGCGTCGTATCAAAGGTCATTTTCCATAAATGGTAGGGCAATGCGTCGTTCTATTCCGTATATGGCAGGCTACTGCGTCGTACGTACTCTTCCAATGACCATATTTGGTCATGCGTCGAAGCGTACGTGATGTCCCTGCTATAAAAGAAAGCAGGTTTTGTAGTATCGAACGTCATTATGCTATCATTCTACTCTTATTCCAGATCGCGGTCGGAGAGGGAAAGAGACGAAGCTTGGGAAGACTTATTGTGCCAGTTGTTCAAGTCGTTGCGCCTACGAGATGCTAAGGATGACGTCCCCCATGGAAGTGGGTATTTTGAATGGGCGTGTCCTGTACACTGGGGGCGCCGAAGGTGTGGATGCTCTCGCCGAGGAATTGGCCAGAAGGTATGACATGAGTGTTTGCGTCATCATTCCGCCCACTCACTCCCGCGCCGTTCGTATCACGCCTTTGACGGAAAGCATGTTGCACGAGGGTTTGCAGCACGTGTTACGCGCCAACAAGACGTTGCAACGCTCTCTATCCAATAACGTGCTAAAGACGGGACTGTTACAGAGAAACTATAGGGTGGTGAGGGATACCAATCTCGTGCTGGCCTTCGGACATTTCGACACAACCAAACCCCACACGTTACAGGGAGGAACCGGTTGGAGCGTGCAAATGGCGTTGGAGCAACAAAAACCCGTGTGCGTCTACACAGACCGGTGGTACCAATTCGACTACCCGCAACAGAGATTTGTCCCATGTCACCCGCCCTACCTACACCCCCAAAACACTACCATCGTGGGAAGCAGACGCATCACTCTTCAAATGACGCAAGAATTACACAATTTATTTCAGAGAACCATTCAGATGGAAACTAAACCGTTACCGAATTTTTGGTTTCATTAACATTGTAAAAAAAAAAAAAAAAAAAAAAAAAAAAAAAAACGGAACAATAAAATACGAGTGTTGTAACAAAAGTCTCATTGGTAGAGCGCTGCACCGGTATCGCAGAGGTCATGGGTTCAAATCCCGTACGGGCCTGAATATTTTTTTTTTGTTTTTTTTGTTTTTTTTGTTTTTTTTTTTTGTTTTTTTTTTTGTTTTTGTTTTTTGTTTTTTGTTTTTTGTTTTTTTTTTCAGGTCCTACTTACAACTACTAGTTTCAGTAGTGTTCTTAGCTGCGAGGATCTTCTAAATTCATCTTTCCACCGCGGTGCAAATATGTGAATTTTCATATATCTAAATCTTCATTCATTCGGATGTTTATTTGTACCCAATTCATTGGCCAGCTCCCAGTTGGCTTGTTAGCTCAATTGGTAGAGCGCTGCACCGGTATCGCAGAGGTCATGGGTTCAAATCCCGTACGGGCCTGAAATTTTTTTTTTCAGGTCCTACTTACAACTACTAGTTTCAGTAGTGTTCTTAGCTGCGAGGATCTTCTAATTTCAACTTCAAAATTTGACAAAGTTCGTAAAGGCGCGCATGACTTGATTCCTCAGGATTAGAAACCGCTTCTCGTCTTCCGTCAGTTCGTTGTCGTCTTCCTCTTCCGTCATGTCGCGGATGTAAGCTTTGGCATAGCGTACCACTCGTCTCAAGGAATCCTCGTCCGCTCGGTGCTGCATAATGTCCATCATGTCTTCTAGGTACAAGGCTGCCCATTTGGGATTATCTTCCAGGTCTCCGTTCATGTTGTTCATTTGTTCGTCTCTCCTACCACTGAGTAACGTGTCCCTTCGAAAAAGCCTACCTTCTTATAACCACTACAAACTCGTTACCAGTACCCTTATATAGGACTAGGGGATACTTCCCTCATCCTACACCACGTACTGAGTCCTAATATGGAGGTGCTTCCCAATATGGAGTGATGACGTAGAACTCGGTATATAAGTATAGTCTCCTTCCCAGTATTCCTCTTTTGCCTCAGTCAACATGGAAGCAGGACCACCAGACTTTGGAAGCTTCGTACAAGACGTGGATGATGAAACTCTACTAGCTGCGGCTAGGAACGAAGAAGGCGAGAATGAATTTGTAGAAGACGTGGCGGACGTCCTATTGAACGAGGTAGGTGAAGCTTTTGACCGTCAATTTTCCTATCAATCTCAACTGGGAGGCGCAGCCCTTTCCTCTTCCGCTCCTCCTGGTTCTTTCGAATTTCTTTTGGATCCCTTTGTGGATCGCAGGAGTGAACGCATGGGAGTGCGAGAGCGACACTACACCACGCGTCTGAGACAACGCGGTGCGTTCATTCCTTCCCAGCACGTACCTTCGGCTCTTACCGAAGCCCTGCATGCTGCCGTCCGTCGTCTCATCGAACAAGACCACGTCCCGGCCCAAGATCGCGTGTACCTGGGACTGTCGAGTAATCGACTATCCCACGCTTACAATTATCGCGGTCTGACGGTCGACGAATGGCTTCGAGGTGGGGCGCGGGTGGACGCCCTTCTGCAACAAATGAGCGCCATGCTCAACTCCAACGAACAGTTCGAAATGGATGATTCCTTCCAACTCTCCTTCACGCACGTGCGCGCGCCTCCGTCGGGTTCCGGTCGCAAACGCAAGTTGAAACCCGGCCATTCCGCCTTGACGTCCTTCAAGAAAAAGAAGCTGTCCGTGCTCCTCATTAAGAACGGAGACGAGCTTTGTTGCGCCAGAGCCATCGTCACGGCCAAAGCCAGACTTGATCAACACCCCAACTGGGACGGGTTCAAAAGAGGTAGAAGGATCCAAGCAGAACATGCAGTAGACCTTCATCACGAAACGAGAGTTCCCCGAGGTCCGTGTGGGTACGACGAACTCCGAGCCTTCTCTCTTGCTCCTTCTCTCTACGACTATCAAATTCTTCTCTGCGATGCCACGCGCGGGTATGTCGTGACGTCGTTTGGCCCACCTTCACAAAAGCAGCTCGTCCTCCTCTACGACGACGGCCATTACGACGTCATCACTTCTCTACCCGGATTCTTTGGCACCTCCTACTTCTGCGCGAGGTGTCTCAAACCCTACGACAACCAAGGTCACCACGCCTGCGACAACAACCCGGACCACTGCAGTGCCTGTCTCCAGACTGGATGTCCGGATTACACCGAGGCCCGATGCCGAAGTCTTCCGGCGATGCAGACCTGCGATTCATGTAGACGGACGTTCTATGGGACAGCGTGTCTCACCAATCACGTGTCTAAGACACAGAGTGGGAAGACCGCGGATCACCAGCAACTGAGCGTCTGTACGAGTCGTAGGAAGTGCGGCAACTGTCGCAAACTCCTTGTGGGTCGCAAACAGCAACAAGAACACCGGTGTGGCTACGTCACGTGTCCTTCGTGTCACCATTACGTCGAAGCCTTGTCGCATCGGTGCTTCATTCAAGTGGCTAAAACTCCCGAGGAAGAACGGGCGGAACGTCGCGCCAAACGAAGACCTGGTCGCCTTCTGCGTGGTGCTGCTGCCGG